TCTCTCTATCTCTATCTATCTATCTATCTATCTATCCATCTATCTCTCGCTCTCTCTCTCTCTCGCTCTCTGTGTCTATCTGTCTATCTATCTCTCCCTCCTTTCTCTCTCTCCCTCCCCCTCTCGCTCTCACTCTTTCTCTCCCTCCATCCTCTCTCTCCCATCCTCTCCCCCTGATCTTACAACTTGAGTGTTCAAATCTCCAGTGGAATCTTAAAAAGACAAAAACCCGAATACTTCTGATGACTGACAGTGTGAAGGCCCTAGGGGGCATGTCGTTTTCTCAGAAGGGGCCCTAGTGGCCTATCTATAATTATTGGTTAAGGTGTTGGCCTCTCATTCAAAGATCCCGGGTTCGAATCCGGGTAGCGACCAAAAATTTTCTTCTCTAACAAATTGTCTCATTTCACCTCCTTTTCTGCTCCCTAGCAATGTTCTCTCGTCTGCTTTCGTCTCCTCTTTCTACCCCCACCCCTCATCTCCTTTGCCCCTTCCTCTGGGCTCCTAACTCTTTCTGCAGCCTTTCTATTGCTACTTCTTGGCTCCTTCTTACTGTTGTTTTTCAGCCAAACCCCTCATCTTATGGTAGGAAAGATCTACACCTAGCCTTCCCGGACAAGGGTAAAAAAAAGTCCTCGGGGGGGGGGGGGGCGTGTCCAAGTTGCGCACGTTAAAGATCCCTTGGTTGGTCTAAAATCCATAAGAGTAGGCTTCGGCCGCCACCAGAGCAAAATTCAAAAGTTCCTACCAAACTGAAAATGTTTAATGTGTCCCGCGCGCTAATATGACATTATGTTGTCGCGAGCGCCGTAAAACACTTACAAAAAAACAAAAACAAACAAAAAAGTTAGCTCAACTGAACTAGGGGGCAGATGATCCTTGTTTGAATCCATAATGAGGCGTTCTTGAGCATGAGTAGTTTGGGGAGTTTTCAGAGTTCTCGGGACCCACTTAGTTTGTTCCAGTCGGAGATGGGCGTTGAATTCGGAGATGAATTTTCACCTTTTAGAGAATCGTACAAGCGGAAGAAACAAATATTTAAAACATATAAAATACCGCGATAAAAAGGTCGTTAATACCCCCCCCCAAAAAAAAAAAAAAAAACCAAAAAAAAAAAAAAATAAAATAAAAAATAAAAAATAATAAATAAATAATTAAATACCCACACAAAAAACAAAAGCAAACAAATAATATCACACTACTTTGATCCGTCTTGTCAAACAAAATCAGTCTCCAAAAAAATATATAAAGCAACGATGACAGTACATGTATCCATAATTCTACATGAATTATTCTCAGATAAGGTAGTTAAACATAGATCTACCTGGGCTTGGAAAACAAGGCCGATGAAAACAAACAGGCAAACGGCATACATCTTAGATGCTGTTATTGCCGACCTTCCGTGATTAACTTTCAGGTTCAAATGGACTTTTCCTGGACTATAAGCAGATAGAAGGGTGTCAGAGAGGGGTGCTCGAAGAACACGTGCCTTATCATTAAACGTGAGGCAGCACTGTAAGTTGTCTTATCTTCGTCACGAAGGACTAGAAGGCATACATTGACACGTATAATCGCACTCTCATTTTTACGTTGATAGCGATTTTAATATCAGGTCAACCATTTAGTGTTATGAATTATACTGTGGAACACGGTTTTACACAGTAATGGTGTTTACGTAATATTATAATATCTATCTCTGCAGGACACGCTTTTTTTTTCTTCTACGTTCGCTTTTAAGACAAATCATAAAGTTGTCATTTATGGGAGTAAGTTAGGCGAACATCTATACGGGCTAATTACGAGAATAAAAGGACTGGACGTAAAGAAATACGAAAACAATACATTAAGGGACATTAAGAGCTGAATTGAAATGTTTTGTTTGGGCTCAAAAGTAAGTATACTGGGCTTCCCAATAACCGATATGGGTCAAGAAACAGAAACACACTATCACTATATGATTCCATTGTCAATATTCTGAAATAGTAGACATGTACAACTTAGGGATCACTCAGATCAGGCGATCAGTATCTTTTAAGAGTTCCTAAAAAAGGGGGTAAAACATTAGCTGAAAGATCGTTCGCCCACCTTGCTCCGTCAGTTTGGAACTCTCTTCACCTACCCTTGAGACATACAACATCTGAGTCTAAATTTAAAAAATCTTTAAAGACACATTTAATGACATCCTTTTTATGTCAGTAGTCAGTAGATTCATGTTCAGTACAATGTTATGTAAATGACTATGTATCCATTTATGTATTTTGTGAATTGCAGTGTATATATTGTTTTATGCTCATTTCGTGACGATGTGTAAGCGTGTGCGTGTGATAAGCAAGTAGATGTGTGTGTGTGTGTGTGTGTGTGTGTGTGTGTGTGTGTGTTTGTGTGTGTGTGTGTGTGTGTGTGTGTGTGTGTGTGTGTGTGTGTTTGTGTGTGTGTGTGTGTGTGTGTGTGTGTGTGTGTGTGTGTGTGTGTGTGT